TAAGCTCAAGTCTCAGGAAAAACAGCTTCTCAGTCCGAGATAACTCATCCCCACACTCACCGTGCAGCGTCATGGCCCACATTCACACCCTTCCTCTTGGTGAAGCTCAGGAGGAAAAAACATTTCCAGTGTTTTTATTGCCAGCCTTACTCTCAAGTGGACTTTGGAAATACTTACTCTGGGCATTTCTTTGAACTTCTGTTAGTTATATGACGCTGAGAAACAATGTCATTTTTATTTGTTTTATTGTGGTTGAGAATACACAGTGCAAAGCATACACCAATTCAAGAATATCTACATTGGAAATTCATTAACATTGATTACATTCAAGCTGGGCACACATCCTTAACCCCCTCTTCTGTGTTGTGAAACGGTATTGTTTTTCTCTCCCTATTGTGCCTCCTCAGGTGACGCAGAATGATATGATAATGGCCGAGAGGCTCTTTGGAATCCTAGCTCACGTGGCATCTTCTGAATTACCCCGGTACCGCACGATTTCAATTCTGGGTGATGCCAGGTAACCTTTCACTTCTGTAGTTTTCATAAAATTCCTATCATGCTAGAAAAGGTAACAAAATCCACATACTCCTTAACCATGCCATTTACTCCTCCCATAAGCATTTATCCCGATTGATTTTGTGGCTGTCATTATTCAAGCATTGAGTGTATAAGGATGCATAGGACTAAGGCCTTGTTTCCTTGGGCCTTGTAATCGAATAAGATGAGCAAAACACATGCTAGGGTTTCCGAGGCTGTAGGAGAGGGCATGGTGCGATGAGGAGAGAGTAACTCTATGTTTCGGGGGAACACCAGGGAAGACTTCACCAAGGGGATGTCTAGCTAGTTAGTGTGTTAGACTGGACTCTTCAGAGAAGCAAATAACCCTGCTGACACTGGTATGTGTATGTCTGTAGAAAGACAATTATATTGAGAAATGACTCACACAGATCCAGAAGTAGGCAAATCCAGTCTGGGTCTAGTCCGTGGGGCAGACAGAAGGTGAAGGTTTCTCCCGACTCCTGTGGCTGCAAGGACTGAGGAACAGGAAGCAGGTTGATGAAGCAGGGAGCCCCCAGGCTGGTGGACGGTGAGCCGCAGGGAACGAGACAGGCAGACTGAATCCAATGTCAGCACTTCGCTGATGGCTCTTGGGATGGAGAGACTGTATAGCAGGAGGTCAACTAACCGGATGTGGGATCCTGATCCATCAGTAGAAGTAAGCTAACTTTCACACGCTGTCAATTCATACTAAGAGTCAGCCACCCCCTGACGAAAACCAGCCTCAGTTGCATCATGGGTGTGACCAGAATAGATCTCCCTACAACTGCTTGACTGCTTCCCAGAAGATCCCATCATGGAAGTGACCACAATATGCGACATCATATCATGAGAGAAACCTGGTCCATCCAAGTTGACATAAAACTTAACTATCACAGCCAGGGATGAGCAGGAGTTTTTCAGGTGGAAGGTTTGGGGGAAAGATCTGCAGAGGCACTGGGAATTTTAAGTAGTTCAGTATAACTGAAACATGGAGTGATTGTGAATGAGGAAATGAGGTAGAAAGTCTGAGTGCAGTCTGATTTTGAAGAGCTGTGGAATGCTCACAAAATGAAAATGACTTGTATTTTATACTTTAGTGCAAAATGATATGATTAGATTTATGTTTAGAAAGCTTCTATTTGAGCAAACAGACACTAAAGGACTGAGATTATGAAGGCTTGAAATAAGGCAGTGAAAATACAAAAGGAAAAAATAGAAAAATACCTTGCAAGTGTATTTGACAGAATATATGGACAGAGGGAGAAAAGTCAAGGACAGTGTATTAGTTATGGTCCAGTAATAGGTAAGATTCACTCTGGCTGAAGTCACCCATGTAGTCCTGGTGGTGAGTGGGTTAGGTTAGACTGCTAACCACAAGGCTAGAAAAATAACAGTAAAATAATCTTGAAGAAAGTGGAAGGGAAGAAATAATGAAGTTAAAAAATTGAATGAATGAAATGTTGGTTATTTAAAATGCTAACAAAAGTTTTACAAGACGCATCTGTGTACTGTTTTTATAACTTAAAAAATCACTAAAGAACATAATTTCAAGTAAAGATTTATATGTTACTATGTTAAGCTGAATTTCCTGTAGGAACGCATCCAGTAGCCCTTTAGATGCATATGTGGAGAGAAACGGATATGAAGAAAGTGGCTCACAGAGGTGTGCAGTGGGCAAGTCCAACCCAGGCACGCTCAAGCCCACGGGCCACATGCTAGGCTGGAGGCTTCGTTTGACTCGCACCCACCGCTGTGGGGAGATGATGTGCAGGAAGACCACAGGCTGGTGGCTGCAGAGGCAGATGAATTCGAAGTCTGCAGGGCAAATGACAACTTGCGGGATCGGCAGGAACCATGACTAGCTCAGATCCAAAGAATCAGAGTTCCATGAGCCAGATGCAGGATCCAGACGCAGAAAAAGCAAACAAGCTTTCCCACAGCATCCACTTATATTGGATGCAGGTCATGCTCCCAAGGCAGTTACATCAGGGCTGTGAGCTGAGTAACGGTGTTGCATTCCCACCTAATGTTACCCCATTATGGAGGCTTACAACTAATTGGCTCTGATGGCATTGTGTTAGGTCATGGAAGATTATAGGTGTTGACTGCCAAACCACTAAGAATCCTGACCTAGCCATGTTGACACAAGACCTTAACTATCAGTTACTCACTTAAAAAAAATGATAAAACCATACTAACTTGTGTTAGTATCAACTCTGTTGAAGAAGAGTTGATGCATTTGGATTGTGGTGCTGCCAATGAACATTGAAAGTACCGTGGACGGCCAAGAGAGGAACCAAACCTGTCTTGGAAGAAGTACAGCCAGAATGCGCCTAGGAAGCCAGGTTGGTGAGACTTCATCTCACACACTTTGACTTGCTATCAAGAGAGAGACCCCTTCCTGGAGAAGGGCCTCCTGCTTAGTACAGTGAGTGGAAGGGCAGGGACAAGAGAGAGAGTGTTGACGAGATGGACGGGCACAGTAGCTACAACAAGGGGCTCAACATAGTCATTGTGAGAATGACCCAGGATGGGCAGCGTTTCCTTCCGTCGTTCATAGAGCTGCTGTGAGTCAAGACGGGCTTGACAGCACCGAGCAGCAGCAGCAGCAGCAAATACCCAGGAAAAGGCATGGAGTTGGCAAAGTGTGCTCTCTAACTATCTGAATTTTATTCATGCATTATAATTATTCATTGCATAGAAAACTTGCATGCTATAATATTAAGTGAAAACATGTTATAAAGTGATATATTTAGTATAATCTGAGCTCTTATTAAAATATAGATAAGAAATCGATCCTGGAAACAAACAAACAAATAAATAAGATAAATAATCCAGTAGAATTATATTTTAGTCTATTTCTTTATACTTTTCAAAGTTTATACTCTCCAAATTTTCCAAAATGATTGCATTAAGCTTTTAAATCAGAAAAACGAATTTTTCAAAAGATAAAATGGATTCCCCTACTGCCCTTTACCATCAGTTCATGGTTCAAAGTGACGTAGTTGTGTCAGTGCACTTAGAGACGGCCTCGTGGGTGGAAGCCATAAGGCCATCTTCATGGGGAGGCCTTGCGGTCCACTGGATTTCTGGTGGGCTCGTGGATGTCCACTACTATGACCCCTGTTTGTGTCCCTCTGCATAGTCACGCGAGGTTTCTCTTTCATCAATTATCTCCTACAAGGACCTTGCTCGGATAGACACTAATAGTTAGAGATTTCCAGTTTGGAGTTTATTTTGGTTTTGCCAAGACGTAAAACAATGTCCATTTCCATTTTCTGGCTTGGAGTAGCATTACTCAAGCACATAATGCACTGAAGAGCTACCTTGTGTGATTTGAAGAGGTCCTAGCCTAGGGTTTATGGGTAAGGCTGCAGACATCTTCATGTTCATGGTAATTATTAAACACAGGAATTCGATTGAGCGACCTAATTAGTAGAAAGGCTGAGGTAATGAGTTGAACTCAAATAACGATCTCAAGTTCAGAGAAAAAAAGACATTTTAATAAGTTTGGGATGTCATTCTCTAAATCTCCCTATTTCTGTTCTATAGGAAGAAGCAATTCCGGTATCTCCTAGAAACCAAAGGGAAAAAGCCAGGCATTGTCAGTGAGGAAAATAACGACAGTAAGAGACCTACAGGAGAAAACACAAATCGTGCTACACTGAATTATACCACAAGAGAATTTTACAATGAAAAGCTGGAGGTACAACTCCTATTAACCTTTGCATATTTCTTCTTTAGTCATTTATGATAACTTTTGTTATTCTAAACTGTTAATCAGCCATATATACAAAGATGGGGACAGTAAGCCTCAAGACATTAAAAGGAAGTAGAGGGCACAGGTAAAAGAAGAGATCATTGTTCAGTGTTTTTATTTCACCTGAAAATTTGTTCAAAACAAATCCATACCAAAAGCTCAAGCCAAAGGTCCTGATTTATCTGAATTAAGAAAAAGGGTAAATGGTGAGGGCTGACGATGTGATAAACATAATTAACACACTGAACTACACATGTGAAGCCTGTAGATACTTCCCATGCCATGTTACCTGTCTATGGTTGATGCGAGGCGTCATCGGTCAGGTCTGACTTAGAGCAAAGCTGTGTACCACACGAGTCAGCACTGCCGTGTCCAACACCAGGGCACCAGTGTTGCTGGGGTTGAGCCCTCGGTGGCAGCAGCATTGAAGGCCGCCTTTTTGCCGCTGAGTCTCCACCAAACATGGTGTCCTACTGCAGGGTCTCGTCGCTCCTGATAACCTGTCCAAAGTACATAAAACGGAGTCCTACCAGCCTCGTTTATAGGGAGCCTTCTGGCTGTCCCTCTTCTAAGCAGACTTGTGTATTCTTCTTGCAGTTCACAGTATAGACAATATTTCTCACCATCACCCTAATTCAAAGGCATCAATTCTTCTTTGGCCTTCCTTGTTCATTATCCAGACTTTGAATATATATGAGGCAATTGAAAATACCATAGTTTGGGTCAGGCACGCGAGTCCTCAATAGGACATCTTTGTTTTGCACACTCTAAAGAGATCTCTTGCAATAGACTGCCTTGTGCCCCCGTCATTTGGTATATGGTCTTCCATGGGTGTTGACTGTGGTTACAAATAAAATGAAACCACTAGCAGCATCAACATTTCCCCCCTTTATCGTGATGCTACTTCTTGGCCCAGTTGTGGGGCTTTTTTCCTCATTAATTTGAGTTTTGTGCTTCAAGTCCTCCTTGCTCTCATCAAGCAGGATTAGTAATGAGTCTTTCTCTAATCTAGATACCACATTCTTCTTCAGAGAGTCTAGTTTCTCGGATGATGTGCTCAGCACACAGATTGAATAAGTATGGGGAAAGGATATAACCCCGACACACACCTTTCCTGATTGAAAACCATGTAAGGAGCCCTGCTGGCATAGGGGTTGCTCCCCACCAGGTCAGCAGTTTGAAACCACCAGAAGCCCCGTGGGAGAAAGATGGACCTTTCTACTCCAATGGCATTTACAGTTGCAGAAGCCCGCAGGGGCCCTGTTGGATCACTGTGAATCGGAATTGAATCAGTGGCTTTTCTTGGTTTTGGTTTAGCATCCTTTTGTTCTTTGCAAACAACTACCTCTTTTCTATGTTGTACAGGTTCTTCATGAACACAATTCATTGGTCCATTCTTAACACGATTATCCATAATTTATTCTGATCCACAGTCAAAAGCCTTTGTTTAATCACTGAAACACAGGAAACACCTTTCTGGTATTCTCTACTTTCATACAAGACCCATCTGACATCAGTCATGATATCCAATGATGCCCCTCATCTTACATCCTCTTCTGAATCTGCTTCGAAATCCTCGCTGTTCCTTGTCAAGTACTCTTAACCACTTTTAAATTATCTTCAGCAGAAATTTACTTATGTGTGAAATTGGTGATATTGTTATATAATGTCTGTATCAGATGGATACCTTTTTTGGAAGGGGAACTAATGTGGACCCCTCAGCTCAGTGACCAAGTAGCTGTCTCAGACACGAGGAACACTTCCGTTGGGTAAACCATCTGTCAGTTCCTGGAGCTTCGTTTTCACCAGTGCCGCTTGGACTTCTTCCTTAAACACAATCACTTCTTGACCATAAAGACCTCCTGACACGATGGAATGTTTTGGCGTAGTGGCTCTGTGTATTCCTCCCATCGTCATTTGGTGCTTCCTGTGGCATTTACCGTGTTGCTCATGGAATCCTTCAATATGGAAAAGCAAGACTTGCTTCTTTACTTCAGATATTTCATCTTGAAAGATGCTGAGGGTATTCGTTCCTGTTGGTTTTCTAACTCCAGGTCTTTCCACATCTTATTACAGTACTTTATGTTGCCTTGTTAAGCTTGCCTTTGAAATATGCTTAGCTCTTTTACTTTATCTTCCTTCCATTTACTTTATTTAGTTTTTTAATCATTTTATTGGGGCTTGCACAACACTTATGACAATCCATACATCCATACATTGTGTCAAGCACATTTGCACATTTGTTGCCGTCATCATTCTCAAAACATCTGCTTTCCACTTGAGCCCCTGACATCAGCTCCTCATTTTTCCCCTCCTCCCCCTCCCCCTCCCTCATGAGCCCTTGATAATTTACAAGTCATTATTTTGTCATATCTTATACTGTCCAACATTTCCTTTCACCCACTTTTCTGTTGTTTGATTTCCAGAGAGGAGGTTATATGTAGATCCTTGTAATCGGTTCCCCCTTGCAACCCTACCCTCCCTCCACCTTCCCGGTATCGCTACTCTCACAACTGGTCCTGAAGGGATCATCCGTCCTGGATTCCCTGTGTTCCAGTTCGTGTCTGTACCAGTGTACATCCTCCGGTCCAGCTGGATTTGTAAGGTGGAATTGGGATCATGATGGTTGTTCCATTTTCTTTAGTTATTCTTCAAGATCCAGACTCTCTTCTGAGATTCCTTTTGGTCTTTTCTATCTTTTTCATAATCGATTGCTTTCTTCATGTGTGATGCCCTTATCTCATCTGTTCTTCAGTGTTCAATGTGCCTGATGTGTTCTTGAGATGGTTTCTAAATTCAGGAGTGACATAGTCAAGTTTGTACTTCGGCTTTCATGGTCTTGCTTTGGTTCCTAATTTGGCTCTCAGTGTTGACTTGCTTTAATTATTTTCAGCTTCAGCTTGAACTTTCATGTGAGAAATTGGTGGTCTGTTCATCCTTTTTCCGACTGAAAATAATGAGTTTTTCCACTATCTCTCCCCACAGATGTAGTTGATTTGATTCCTGTGTATCCTATCATTCGAAGTCCATATGTACAGTTATCATTTATGCTGTTCAAAAGGGCATTTGCAGTGAGTAAGTCATTACTCTTAAAAAGTTTTATCATGCACACTCTGGTATGCTTTCTATAACCACGGCCACATTTTGTAGCTGCCGGTTCTTTGTTTCCAGTTTTTTCATTGAAATCATCAGTCTTTGTCGATGCATCCTGATTGCTTGTTTGATCCGCGTCAGACTGCAGACGTTTGTGAAATCTTCCTGTTTGGCATTAGCCATTAGTGTGTACTACAATAAAAAGTAGAATTTTAAAAAGAAGAAGAAATGGACATAAACTTGCTGTGCGGCTTTAGGCAGCCCATGCTAAACTGGCAGAGAGTACAACATCGCCTCCACTTGGTTCTTGGTTCTTGGAGCCTGGGTGTTTGCATGCACTTCTTCCAGTCGCCTGCAGCATTAACTCTTTGGTTCCCAACTATGTGACAAACCATTGACCTGTTTTGTTCCCAATACAGCTACTTAGCCTGAAATATCGGAACCCCTTCTTCCCTTCAGTCTGTGCTCAGATATTTATGGGTTGATAACACAATGCCGTGGTGCCGTGGGAGCTGCAAAGATGGGATCGTGCAGCGCCTTCCTTGATAGTGCTCACAGGAGAGCAGAGACATGGGTCCCTACATAACAAATCTGAGCCGGCCAATAGCATTTGGTGAGCATTTATGACTTACATGTACGTCACTACTTGAAAATCATATTTATCCTCTCATCGATTATAAATAGTTTAGAACCGAAATGTCCAAGAAAGTAGTTTTCCAGATTTTTAAAAACATCTGTGGAGCTCTTTATTCAAATTGTACTGGCATAGAAAGCCCAGCACGTCGTTACATAATGAAGACGGAGGCTCAGAGCTTTATTTGCTTGTCCTTCTCTTCTTTTCCTTCACCCCAACCTTAATTCTCAAGTATCTTTTGTAACTCCCAGGTCTATCAGGGTCACACCTTGAAAACCCAGGGAGAAAGGTCTGTATAGTGCCCTAAAGATGTTGCGCTTCTGCTTTAAATCCTCTTACTACAAGAGGGGTGCTGTCTGGTAAGATGGTTGGCCATCATTGAGCCATTCCAGCAGTGAGCAAAGAAATACTTACCCATTTAAGCTGACATCTGCCTCCTCGTAATTGTCATTTACTGATCTGTCAGTGACAGATCATTTACCACTTCTGTAGTAAAGAGAACAGGCCTCTCTTCTGACGAGCAGCTTTAAATGCTTAAAATCAGTCACCGTGACTCTCTTTCGTCCTCTCTGTATTCATGGGTTCCTTATTAAAAATCATGTTAAGCATCTATCACACACCAAACACGACCATACCCGAGCTTTGAGAAGACATGGTTCTTGCCCGTAGGGATCTTGCATTCTAATGTGGAAGATAGGCATTGGCATGGGATAAGATACAAACTAAAAGATCACGAGAGGAGAAACAGCTCATCCAGACAAGGGGCTATTGGGTCAGATCTTCTCATGGCGGCTTTTCCTCATCTCTGCTGACCTTCCGCTGACCAAGCACGTGTTCCTTTTCTAGTGACCAGTCTTTTCCGACGACCTGTTCAAAGTCAAGGGGCCAACTCCTCACCATCTTCACTGTTCAGGAACAATCTGGTTGTGTGTCTTCTAAGACTGATATGTTTGGCCTTCTGGTATTGATATTCATCATCATCAAATTTACATGTACACATTCTTCTTCAGTTTTCCTTTTTCACTGTCCAGTTCTCACATGCATATGATGTGATTGAAAAGCCCATGGCTTAAGTCAGTGTCACCTTGGTACCAAATGTGACATTAAAACTTGTGAGCAGTCCTTTGTAGCTTGACTTACCCAGTGTAGTACATCACTTGGTTTCCGTGTCACAGACATTGCTTGTTGATTCTAGTAGAATGAAGTCATTAACAAATTC